TAAACTCAAACGCAATCCTGCCAACTTGAAAAGTGAACGCAATTAATGAACCGCGTTTTTTTAACAGACAATATGCATGTATGAAGGACTGTGCCATATAGGTATCTACCGGAACACAATCGTACGTTTTGCAGAAACGGGTTGTTTTGAATGCTTTCACGTCCTTTTCCACAGTTTTTCACCTCCGCTACAAGTATTCGAAAAATCTCATTGACGCTCAAAACGACCTTTTTTGACTGTGGATGTGCGTATGGGTGTGGGTGTGGATTTTAGCTTCTATGACACCCTCAAGCTCTCCAGAGATCATGTACTTCGTACGTCGGTTCCGGCGCAATATCTCCTACTCTCGGACTATTTTCATGGTCAAAGAAATTCAGATATATATTCTACTATCAGAGGATGTAAAAGGCTAGAATTACCCAATCATACTACATTGCGTATTCAAACATCTAATGTTTTCTTTAATAGACAATGGAAATTGATTGTCCGACGTATTTTCGATTATGTTCAACTCGATGATATTGTGAGTAACTTCTCTGAACGAAATAATATCATTCCTTAAAAATATCTCATTCACAATCAGTTATCCTCATATTTGTTTGTATCTATGACAAAGTACTCATGGTTTCATCAGGTTACATCGACCACCATCCAGAATCTTTACAGACTGTCACTGATATCTGCTTTTATATTAACAGTCACCTTCGTCAGCAGCAGAACTCTAACTTAATAATAGTCATTAGTTCGTATGTCTTGTTTCCTACTCCTTTCATTATTAGTTTAATACTATCTGAGTATATAACGAAAAAACGACAATTAGTGTCAGATAGCTGTTGCTGGCTGATATACGAACTATATGTCTGTGTTCTATAAAAAAAAGCGGTTTGTTATCATTTTCATTCAATATTTATTCAAATAGCAGATTAACAAGATCTAAATTTTTTCTCCATAGTAAACAGCTACTGGGATGTAAACGTTAAATTTACTTATATTTTATTCTTAGTGTCCTGATATAGATGTATTTTCTTTCTAGATGTCGATGTCAATGACAGAAACCGCTTCCAATAATAAAAGTAAGTGTTAAGAAAAGCTTAATACTGTTTCCACTATTTTTTTTTCGTACACTATCAACATCAGAACCAGAGAGTTGTAACCGTCTTATACCACAAGAATATGGAGCCTACTGGGGAAGATTTAAATTTAAAGATACTTGTGGTGAATATTCTGATGAGGTAAGTATGATTAATTCATTTATACTAAATTGAAAATTTTCTAATTTTTTGGAGGTTCTTTGAAATCTGTTTTAGGTAGTTAATTAAATAATGTTTAATTTGATTATTCTAGGGTCGACCGTTTCTTTACGTCGATGATCAAATTGATTTACATGCTCTATATCATTTCATGATCAATGAGTGGAAGTTAGAAACACCTAATATAGTTGTGCCTATTTATAGTTCTACCGCAAGTCACAAATCATTCAAAAATGGTAAAATGGTTGAAGCATTAAAAAAAGGCATTAGAAATGTAAGCTAATTAGATATAAATATATGTACATTTATTTGCAAAAAAGATTGAACACTTTACTTTATGAGTACTTATTCCCATGTAAATTATTTTAGTTTATATGCTTTCACAAACGATAGGTACGACAAGTATCATTGTCCAATTTTCTTTCATTCATTTCTGAAACAAATTATAAAGAATAGTATTCCACAAAAATAATGTACAATCTTTTACTATTGAAATCCATTCTCTAAAGACATTTTCAAGAGGAATAGTATCTAGAAACTTTCTAAAAAAATCATACACAATTATTTTTAGATACTAGAAGACTTGGTGAAAATCTTTTTTTCAAGATGGCTATATTTTAAAGAGAACAAAATTCTAAATAAAATGAGATTGAACGAGCTTTATAAGAATTTCTCTAAAAAGAAGATGAGCGGGACAAAATATGAAAACAAGAAGGAACATTTATAGCATGACTGTAAAAAGAACTGTTGATTTGTTTTCTTGCGATGGCTATAGCTTTGTTAAAAAGAATCATAGAAAACGCATCAATCTCTTGTTTTCTCCAATATGTTGGGCTCTATAAGATAGGATTATTAATAAAAAACCTGATTGTCATACAAGATTATGAACTTCAGAACTTCATTGGTTATTTAAACTGATATTTAGATACACACTGAAAATTTAACATCTCACAAAGAAATGAAAAATACATTGATGACATATTTTTGTTTAATACTACGTAGAAGGTTCAATTTTTTAAAGTATTTTAGTAAAAACCACTTGGGTACTTTGACTATTGTTTTCATTTTCTGCTTTCGGCAATATGTTCTACGTCTAGCTGAATATTTTTTGTCTAATTATTAATCTTGTACTTTTAAAGTAATCGATTTATTAACTTCAAGAAAGATCTGTCATATTTCACGAGTTATGATAAAGTAATCTTGTAGTTTTGTCCACAAAAATATTGCTGTTTACAGCTAAAACTTTTAGAGTACTCTAAGTAACAAAATACGCATCTCTAGTATCAGTATGAGTCTAAGCGACACTATCGTGGAGAATAAATTAAAGAAAAATTAGATGTCATTCAGTTTTCATTCGAGGAATCAATATTTAGTTTTCTTCATGAATTGGGAGAGATTACAGCTCTTTCTTACATTCACTTATACAAATTTTAAGACAATTTTTGAATATTCTTTCTCTTATGAATATGAACCATGAATATTAGTTGTTTGAGGATGATAATATCAATTCATATGGTCGAAATATGGTAAAAATATTCGAACATTTATTTGTTTAGTTATTTTCTTGACATGCTATATTACGGATATATATTGAGGTTGCAAGTTAGAGCTAGAATTGGTGTAAATTATAAGAGCTTCGAAAGAATAATTTTTCTTTTTTTAATGTAGAATTGTTTGTTTTTAAATTGAAAATTGTAATTTTTAGTTAACGAAACTTGACAATCCAATAGAAAAATAATATCAAATACACAAATAGAACAAAAGATCTTCTTGATCTGACGAAATTCTTTCAAAAGAAGAAAAGTTTTCTTAAAAAGTAGTTGTTGATGAAAACTTCAAGGAATTATTTCAAACTTCATCTGTATTTGAATTTTGTTTTTCGGTACTAGTTTAACAGAGATGTCTTTTTGTTTAGTTAAATTTACAAATTCATTTCGCAACGAGAGCTTCGCATCTATTACGAATATCTGTATCCGACAATAAAGCTTCAAACTTAACAAATTTTTCTTTTCTCTTTAGCGCTCACATATCAATCCAGTCATATTATATAATATCATTCTGCGATTCGGCAGTTGTCAATTAAGAGAAAAAAATTTCAGAGTCGAAGTTCGAGTTACAAAAACGTGACTCGTAACTCTATAGATTCTGCCCTAAGAAATCCTATCTTCGTAACGAAGTCAAATATTGAAATGTATATCCAAAAGCAACCTGTAACCAAAGTAACAAAAATAATTTGTGTAGACAAGACAGGATGGGATGAAGAGAAAAAACAAACTTAGGATCAAGTCCAAACATGAAACACTATCCTCGTTTCTATTTATTGCCCTTGATAATAATCTCCTTTAATGTGTAACTGAATTAACCGGTTTGATTTTATTTATATTATGAAGAGAAATCTCCTATGCGAATATTAATTTCACACCACAAAACGTTAATTAAAAGTATGGCTTTTCTTCGTAAAACAAATTTGAATAGATAAAATCTAATGAAAAGAGTAAAGAATGATATATTCGAAAGAAAAACAAATGTTTTCTATTTGATAAAAAGTAACGATTCATTTTTGTGCAAATCTATCTTTTGTAAACGCCTGCATACATTAAGAAGAAAATTAAACTCAAAATATTAATTAATTTAGGTCGTAAATGCATCGAAAATATGGTTTATAACAAATGGCTTTGATGTCGGTATGCCCCAATTAATAGGGTCAGCTTTTCGTGATGAAATTGTATGAAATGTATTTGATAATCTTTAAAAAAAATTTACTTTGTTCAAATATAGTCATTACGACGAGCTAATGAGGCGTTAAAGAAAAAGTTGGATCGAGAACAAAAAACATCAACTTTAATTGGAATTGTTTGTGAAGATGAAATTAAAAACTTTGTTGATCTGCGATCATCAAAAGGCAACTTAAAAAAAGTTAAAAAGAAAAATTCATTTTATACTTCTATTTCAATTTTGTTCTATTTTCAATAGGAATTAAAAATACCACGAAGCAAATATGGACAATTATCATTAAATAGTGATCATACACATTTTATTATTCTTCGTAAATCACAGATTGATTTCAGTTCGGCAAATATTTCAGAAACAAAACTCACAACGACCGATACTAATGATAAATCGTTAGAAAAAATAACTGCTGCTGCTCAAAGAGTTACAAATAAATTTCGTAATCGCTTTGAAGCTTTTTTACATCAAGAAGCACCACAAAAGCAAGCCACAACTCTTACTGAATTACAACTAACAACAACAGGTACTAATGAAAATCTGAATAAAAGAGAAACTTTTTTGATTTGATTATAGATACTCTACCAGCAGCATCAAATAAAGCTGACTCATCAAATGAATATGGTTTTCCAATGATATGTATTTTACTTCAAGGTACAACAGAAACAATCGAACTTGTCTATCGAAAAATTCAACGAGAAGTTCCTATTGTTGTTCTTAAAGGAACTGGATCAGCTGCTGATCTTATTGCATTTGCTTATGAGGAATTTATTGCTAAGTAATAAAACGAAAATAAAAACGAATTTCATTTTGAAAAATATTATTTCTTTTTAGAAATAAAAAAATATCGGAAAATGATTTTTTTAAAGTAGAATTAACTCAATATTTACTTGATGAATATTCTGAATTAAAAGATAATAATTTTAAACGAAATGAAATTCGTAATTATGTTATGTCGATTGTCAAAGAAGTCGATAAGGAGGGAAGAAAATTTTTATCATTCGTTGATATCAATAGTACAACATCATCATTAAATAATTTTCATAAGTTGATTCTTTCAGCTCTGTTACAAGGCACGAATACGTATTTTTATTCTCTTTGTTTATTATTATTATTTTTTTTTAATTTAGGACAGAAACTTGTTAGTGTCAAGAAAACTGATGTTACATTAAAATCAGATCGTTTATTAAAAAAGCGTACTGATCAATTAGGAGCTAATCTTCGCTTAACACTTGATTGGAACTTACCAGATTTAGCATTATCAGATATTTTCCAACTAGATGATGGCATGACATTTTCTGTAACAGCAGAATTATTTGATATGGCCATACTTGAAGAAAATCTTGAAGCCTTCGTTGATTTATTTCTTGATCGACAATTTGTTCTACATCGATACTTAAATTCAAAGAAATTCATTTATTTGTTTAAGAAAGCAAAAGATAAAGATTTTTTCACAATAACATCACTTGAAGGACTTCTTGGTTTATCAGGAGTAAATAAGACATAGAATTCCTTGATATTACCCATTTTGTTTCTGTTTTGTGTTAAATAGGATGATGAAGAACTACCAGAAGAGTTTGTTGAATCGCATCTTAATGAAATTGTTAAACGTTTGACGGGTATAAAGGATATTTTTAGTAAAGTTGAAATGAATTGTAATGCTATGGGAATTTATTATGGTGATAAATCAGACAATGGTGTTCAAAAGCGAAAGGCAATAGCAGAAGAAAGAGTAAAATGCTTGTTTTTTGTTTAATACTTTCACAGGAAATGTTTTTATTTAAAATAGGCTCTTCAACATTTAGTTATTTATGCTGTATTAATGAATCGACATCAATTAGCAAAAATTCTTTGGAAACATTCGTCAGAACCTATTCCTTTAGCATTAATTTGTTATATGATGTTTAAAAACTTAGGACCATATTGTCACGAAACTTATCAAAAATCATTAATAAAAAAACGTGCCCAGTAAATTTTGGAAACAAAAAAGTTTTATTTATTTTTCATCTCAAATATGATTATTTTATTTATTCCAGGGAATTTTCGGATTGGGCTGTAGGCATTCTTGATCAATTATTCCATGAAGATAATGTGAGAATATTTGTAATGCTTAGTGAAAAGAATCGGGTAAAATTTGTTAAAAAAATCAAAATTTACAAGAGATAAAAAGTATTCTAATTAAGAATTGGAATAATATGACAACTATTCAATTGGCTTATCACGCTGGCAATAAGGAATTTGTGGCACATGCTGTCTGTCAAAAATGGGTTACAAGAAAGTTTTATGGAAACATAACACCACAGGAAGTTTCATGGGGATTATTTAGTTTTCCAAAATATCTAAAAGTCAGTAAATACAAATTAGATTAATATGAGACAAATATGTTTCTTTATTGAATAGATCATATTGAGTGCTATTCTTATATTTCCAATGTACTTTTGGATAAGTTTTTCACCAATCGGTAAAGCATCTCCTGTATCAGAAAAAGCAAGTGATGTTTCAGATGATGTCAAACAAGATGCAGAAAAAGAATCAAAACTTAGTGGTTAGTTATTTTTATCGAGTCTTTTTCAATCAAAAATCAAATTAAATTTAGAAAGAACAAAAATGGCTAAAAAAGACGATAAATTTATCGTTCCAGAAGGAGTAAGCATCTTGTTTATACATTCAGCATAATATTCTACAAGGTTGTATTTTATTGTTCTCTATGTTTTCAATCACATGCTTATTAATTTAAAAAGATTTCGGTATTAGAGAATGTAAATAATGGATTCTAATATGGGTATTTGCTTTGACCTTTCTGACAGCTGTACTCAAGTCACACATTCATACTCACAAATGATTAGACTACCAAACTAACATGATAGATACTGAACACTAAGTTTTATACTGATAGTTTATATCTTATGCTGCATATTTTCATATATCCTCTGTTCTATATATCGCACCGATACGGTATCGATAGATGAACTGATACCTTACTTGTTCATATTAGCATGCCAAAGTTAATTTCGATCAATTATCGAATATATCAATAATTATGAGCTATTTTAGAGCATGAAGATCAGAGCCATCAGTAGTAGAGATATGAAACTTCGACAAATTGTACCCCACCATAGATCTACATATCATAGATCAGACTTAAATATTTGTTTCTGTACTGAGAAATAGATTTTTCAGCAAACATAGTATTTTATATGAATAAATATAGAACACTGTATATTCCAAGCAGTTGAAATAGTATTATTTTATAATGAATACATAAGAATTAGGACGACAAATCGAATTAAATAAACGAAAGCGTTCATCACCTTCAATAGCTGAGCTCATAAGTCTAAGAAGTATTTTCCGTGCACTGAACAAAATCAAAGCGCATACCTTTCAGCACAAGTTGCGAATTTTTTTGAGATCATGTCAAATATACACAGGTCAATATAATTATTGTAGACCAAAAGTATTAACCTTGTTACATTCAAATAGCTGTAAAAGCTTCACCTTCTTACTGTTCATTCTTAAAGTTTTGTTAGAGACTAGATAGAGATAATCGATTGAAAGCCTAAGCGAAACTTTTCCCCATTTGCGCTTGTATCGTCAACGGTAATCTATATTTCCTCAATATGTCATGATGCATCAAATATTACCATTATATGAGAAAAATTCAATGAAAGCTATGCATAATATTTTTCTGGTGATTAAAAGAAAAAACTTCGTTGCTCCATTAAAATGCATACTACACTTCATACTGAACAAAATGTTATTTCTAATGAATTATATGCTGTTTTCGGTGATTACGTTCCATCTCACAATACAGTTATTAGATAATCAAAACAGTTTCATGACGGCAGAGACTAGATCGACCTGTAATCGGAACAACATCTATCTATAAATATAATATGTTCAGTGTGTGTCTGTCTATGTGTCTGTGCCGGGTCAAAAGTCATGGTCAAAGGTTAATGATCATATAACGTTATAAGAGGAATGCGTCAAGGACTATTATATGGAAGTACCTATAGGTCCTCAAGGACTATTATACGAAGATGACCAAAGATTCTAAAGAGCTATGCTCTACACGACCGATAAGTTCTCATGGGCTATGCTACGGAGGTACCCATAGGTCTTCAAGGACTATCCTATGGAGGAACCCATAGGTTCTCATGGGCTATTCTATGGAGGTACTCATAGATCTTCATGGGCTATCCTATGGAAGTAACCATAAGTTCTCATGAGCTATCCTATGGAGGTATCCATAGGTCTTCAAAGGCTATTATATAGAGATACCCGTAGGCTCTCAAGGGCTATTATATGAGAACACCTATGGATTCACAAGGGGTATCGTATAGGGTACCATCAGACCCTCAAGGGTGTAAGACAATAAAGGAGTAAGGTTACAACTGGTACAAAGGAAATAAAGTTAAATAGACTATACATATATGTGCGATAGAAGAGTATGAGACCGTGAGGCTTTGATCTATATACATAATATCGCGTATCTGTATGTCTACTATTGGACGAAAAGCTAAACATCTAAAGTTATACGTTAAAGGAGAAACCAACCATGCAGTATGCACGAGTTCTCGCTAGTCTGATTATATTGAAGAAGTTCGTAATCTTCTTAATAATGATCTTCGTCTTATAAGTAAAGAAATAAAAGTCGAAACTGGACTGAGATCATGGTGCAACCCAGATGAATTCTTTCTGAATACCTAAAGCTAAAAAAATTACTTCTCCCTTGATACTCAAGCAATTGATGCATGCTCAATGAACTGAGCGAGTTCAAATATGTCGAAAAAAATTGTCAAAAGCTCAACAAGAAACATGGCGACCATATGACGTAGTGATCGGAGACGAGTCATGCTTTTATCATACATAAATTGGGTAAAATTCATCCAATATTGCCTGAACAGCAAGAGGAGAGACTTCATCAACTGTAATTTGATTCATTACTTTTCTCTAAAAACTTTATTTTGTATCTTTGTTAAGACAGCAAGCGATATTGTAATCTATCATGTGGAAAGAGAGAAATCTATAGACCATCACTAATACATAGATTATTACTTACAGCGCCTTGTCAATCAAATAAAGAAGCAAACATAATCTTTTGGTACACATTTGATTATGATGACTCATGATAATATGAAATCAGATTTTTATCAAGATGTTTCCGTGTATTTCTAATTACAAAGTATGATAATTATGCTACAAAGCATAAAATTCTTCAGATCTCATACCATGTAAATTTTTGATTATTCGATTTGATCAAATAATATCTAAGAGATAGAAACGATTTAGAATCATTACATTTTATCAAAGCCAAAGTCATGAATTCATTCAATCAAGATGCTTTTAAAAAAACTTGATAAATGGATTGAATGAATGATATTTTATGTAAATGATCACGGTAACTACTTCAAACATGTAATGAAGTGAAGTCTAGGTTAACTCGTTTTTGAGTTTTTTTTCTTAAATAAGTCATCACTTTTTGACTGCCCTAAGCATGTATGTACAGTTAATCATTCATGGTGAAGTTTTATCTATCACTTTTTATGAATTTGACATAAAGTCTTTGCAGAAGCATCAAAAACAAAGCTGTTTTGTTACTCATATGACCGTACATCTTTTCCAACAGCATTAAGCATGTTAAAGTTAGCGTTGATTTTTTCCCTCAACAACGCATACATTTTCATCCTAGTACCGGCTTCAGAATGTGTTTCACAAGGGTTCACTATAAATATTTCTATTTTGATTATGATGCAATGAAATAATTGATAATGATTGGATATTTAATTGATCCAAACTAAGTGTGCCAGAGTAATACGAAGAAACTACAATTTAGTTACCTAGGATAATATCAATATGATATATATAAAATTTATTTAGAATAGTATTTTTCAACGACTAAGATGTCTTTTTTGTGGAAATGCCATCAAAGACTCCCAAACTATATCTAATGAAAAACCAAAGAATCTATTTAAAAAAATCGAAGTTTTATGGTCAGCCCCAATAACAAAATTTTATATGGATTTCGTTTCTTATCTTGTATTCTTATGTTTTTTTACATTGGCTGTTATGTGGCCATCATGTGGAAATTTATTGTTGGATATCTTAGTTTGGTTTTGGGCAGCATCAATTACTATTGAAACTACATGTGTTACTTGTGAAAAATATTATGTAAGATCCTTTGCAAAATAATTTAAAAAACCATGAAAGAATTTAACATTATGAAATTTTAGAGTAAAACTAGTTTCCCTGTAAAACCTGTTCTATTAGATATTAGTATACAAACTATATTTCTGGCACTTTTTCTTGGTGTTAGAATAGTTGGTTTATGGAATTTTGGAAGTAATAGAATAAACAAAAATTATAAGAGATTATTTTTTTTCTTTTTGTTTTTTAAATAGCTTGTCAAATTTTAACAGCCAAAGCTATCTTAAGTGTTGGATTACTTTATTATTATTATCGATTATTATTTATTTATTTACCGATAAGTCCAACACTTGGTCCTCTAATGATTCGACTTCGATATATGGTAATTCAAGTTTTAGGTTTTTGTTTGGTTGCTGTTCTTTTTTTTTCTTATAAGAATATTATTTTAGGTCATAGATGATTTTTTTAAATTTTTACAACTATTTATGATATTTATGATATCATCTGGTGTTGCAATAACGGCTGTACTTTATCCACATCATCCATTTAATTTAAATTTATTTTCAAACGCTATTATATTTCGTGGTTTAATGGCATTATTTTCTGGTGACATGAATGATTTAAAACATTCACGTGAACCATGTTCAATAAATGCAACAACTCAGGCAGAAAGACAATATGCTTGTCTCGGATTATCTCATGGCTCTTCATTTAAATGTAAGAATAATGTCTTATTTTGTTTTAATAGAAAACAGGTTTTCATTCAAGATGACAATCCCTATGCATATAAACGTTATGGAATATCATCAACAAATTGCAATCAAATATCATGGATAGCATGGTTTTTACTTATAGAATATTTCTTTTTATCTAAACGTTTTCTTACATCACTTTTAACAGCGATGTTCGGGTATATTAATTTAAATCAATTAAATTCAACTTAGATCACTGAATTTTACTTTGTTTTATTAGTTTAACTGGAGCTAGAGTACAAAATCAATCTCAACAAATTTGGTTACATAACCGATATAAAATTCTCTTGGAATATATTACACGACGATCTTTACCTCCACCTTTTGTTATTATTTCTTATATTGGTAAGATGATTGTAAATATTTTGCTGAAATAAAGTGAAGTAAAATTTTCATTTAAAAAGATAATTATTCAATGTTTAGTTTCACACTCATGAAAGAATTATCCGTGGTGTTATTTACTATTCAACTTCACACAAATATCTTGATAGGACTAGAAAAATCTGAAAAAAAATTGTTATCTATGGACCCATATAGTAGAATCTGACGAATTAATCTAGTTACAAAACTTTTGGATACTGAATTGTAACTGTTTTAACGAATTTTCGAACGTGGGTAAAGTTAGCACCAGATTCGAGTTTTTGCCGTCCGAATTCGTTCGTGTACTTGAGTTATATTTCGTTCAACTTGAGTTAGGTGCAAAATTTTACGACGAATCCGATGGTGTAATGATCAAGGGAGTCATCGAGCAAAAATTGGTACCTGACCCTGAAATACTGAATTTTTCAAAATTTTTTGAAAAGTATCTGCTGTCCGAATTCGCTATTTTACTTCAGTTGGATCTAAAAATGGTTGAATGGGATTCAGCATGAAATTCTGCATCGAATGATATCGATTTAGTATGGGGTCATTGGGCAAAAAAATTTTCACCTCACCCACTCACGCTCCCTCATGGTGATCCTCATCCTCACCCATATGAAAAATTTTTTTCCCGATGACTCCTTAGTAAATCGATATCATTCGATGTAAATATTTCATACTGAATCCAACTCAACCATTTTTAGATCCAACTCAAGTAAAATAGCGAATTCGGACAGCAAATAATTTTCAAAAAATTTTGAAAATTCAGTATTTCGAGGTCAAGTACACGAACGAATCCAGATGGCAAAAACTCGAATCTGGTGCTAACTTTACCCACGTAATTTTCGATCCATTGTCAAATATTTATCGAAAGATCAAATAACAGAATTTCCACCTATAAATTTTGCTTATAAATTGGTTTCATGATACTAAGAATATGCCAAAAGTGTTACCTGAAAAAAATGTTTCTTATAAGCGGTGAGTTATTGAATATCTGATACTTGAATAACTAAGTATTATTTTCGGTTGAAACTTTTACGATATTTTATGCATTATAGTTTTGCCTATGAGTTGAAAATTCAACAAAAAAACCATTATGCTTCTTCAAAAACTCGTGAGTTCGAACTCCTTCAAGATTTTTCTAGTTTTACTGAAAACGCCTTGTGGATTCAATATGAGTTCTAATACTACACTACAGTGGTTGTAGTTTGCTCATAAACTCTTAAGTGAAAATATATAAATGATGATATATTTTTTATTATTAGATGATCTTAAAAATGTCTCAAATTTTTGTACGAGTCTTAGTTTAGGATAATATAATAGGAACAATCTTTGTTTGTTCTTTAATTTGAATTTCTTTGTTGACAATTTCTCAAGATTGAAAAATTTTAACGAAACATATAAATCTTTTTCTTTTAATAATAGGTTCGTTGATAAAGAGTTGTATTAATAGATGTATTCTAAAACTAAAACGACATATTGATACGAAAAAAAGTGCTAACATTCGAACTCTTACAAAATTAATTCCAAAAGGTACGGATATTCACTAGAAGAATAAAAATCCAAATTTCGTTATTCAATCTATTTCAGTAACAACTAATGATGATAGTGATTTTGACACAAACAAATTCAAAGATATGTCATCTAAAACAATCCAACATCGTTCATTATGTGAACGTTTACTTAGTTGTAAACCATGTCTAAGCGTTATAAAAGAGAACGAAAATAAAATTGTACGTTGAATTAATATTTTCTTGTGTATTGAATATCATTAAATATGATTTATTGTAGAATGAAAATAAAACTAACGAGGAAAATATTGACGAGAATATATATTGGCAACGTAAAGCTACAGAATTTTATGCTAAAAAACAAGAAGTTGACAAAGTACAAGACAAACTTGATAGTTTATCCAATATGTAAAAATAAAACTTTCTATTTTTCTTTATTTTTTATTATTTTACATAAACAAAAAATATTCTAAATAATTAATTTTAGTACAACCAATATGCAAAAAAATATTGATGGCCTACGTAAATCATTACGAAACATCACTAATCGTGTTGTTACATCAGAAAAATTATTGATTGATTCTCAAATATTACTTGAAAAAATTCATACAATAATTATACAAGAAGATAGATCATTACCTATATATCAAAAATTTATTCATACATTATCAAGGGAATCACCATATATTTATACAAATGAAGCACGATTTCCAATTACAGAAAAACAGATTCCTTGGAAGGTTATTTTCGGGGTTTATTTTTTTTTTTGTTTTGAAATAAATTCAATAGAATATTGAAAATTTTAGGTATCATTGGATTCATATGATCCAACAATGATTTCATTATCAAAAGAATGTGATTGTTTTCAAGACAGTGAACGACCATTTGTTGAACCCGATTTGTAAGTTTGCTTTGTTTATTTAATGCCCCCCCCCCCCTCCTCAGACAATCGAGCTATTCGGGAAAATATCGAAGTTGGGTTTTTATTATAGAAAAATGCCGCGAAGCTTCCTCTTTCAGAATATGTATAGTTTTTTGGAAAATGTTCGGATTTTCAAAGACTTATCACATGAAACTTTAAATCTACTACCATGTATTTAGAGCAAATTTCATGATTTTTCAAGGTTGTCAGTTTCAGAAAAATTACGTTCCTACTGGCATTATCATTGAATAGAACATTTTTGTATACTAATCAACATGTCAGATGGCGTTAGCTGCCATCTTCTATGACGTTTTTTAAGACGATCCAGTGAAATATGCCATTGTAACATGGCTTGTTCTGGGCTTGAATGAAAAAATCCATTTCTAAAACTTCTTTACCACTTTTCTCAAAACACGATTTCTTGACAGGAAAACTGATATAACTCCCACTCGGCTTGGCACATAGCCGATTATTTTTTGTTTCAAGGTCTTGATTAGAGTTAACTTTTCATCAGACGGATTTTCGATATTGAATCTCAAGGCTGAGAAAAGCGGGATTTACTGTCTTTGAATCACACTTTTTTTATGCTTATTTTACAAGCATGCCCACAAAATTGCTCGTAAAAAATGAATGGAAGGAAGTTTCTAAATTCCATCGAATGAAAAGTTGCATACAGAGGCTAACTACACTTTGAAACCAGTCCGAACTCCGTATCTCTTCTAATGACAGAGTTATGTCGATTTTCTTCGGAGGTAGGAAAACAAGCTGAAAGTTCGATCTATTCAGACATATCAAGTTGAAATTTTTATTATAAGCGTTTCTCGTCAAGACTAATCATCCCTGAAAATTTCAGCCCAAACGATGAGTTCCAAGTGGGAAATCATTTCTGAGAGTGAACCCTTAAGTAAACTTCGATTATTTAATTTGGATGTATTTAGAACTATCGAATCAGCAGTGATCACAGTATCTGATGATACTACTCGATTATCAGATTATAAATGGAATCAAGTTGTTGAATCACAATTACCTAATGGAACAAAGGTTTTTCAATTCTTTTTCTTTCTTCTAAATATAATCATCAAATTTATATTATTAGATTATAATTGATCGAACAACTTGGATTGAAACTTCAGAAGATCAAACACCATCAGTCTATTTATTAGATAATCAATTATCAGTACCTTTGTATATAAATATATGAAACCTTATATGTATATTTATATTTCATATTTCTATAGAAATCCTATGGGCCGTACAGGTGTAGGTGGTCATGGTGCACTAATTCGCTGGGGACCAAATAAATCTATTATAGCTGTAATAACACGATGGAAAAAACATCGAGATCAATATGTTGTTAATAATGGACAAAGAGTTTTAGAAACATTAGTATTTAAAGATAAATATACAAATGATTGGAAATTATCTGCAGTATATTTAATTTTAATTTTTGAATGAAAAATTTCTTTCTGCTTTTAAGGCAAATATTTTAGGTGTTGAATCTCGTTATGGTTCGATATGTCGTAGATTTCATGAACTTGCTTTTCAAAATAATTTTAATTTTGAATATATTTCATCATTTCAAGAAAGTGATATGATTGAAGTAAAATTTTGATAATTCAATTTCTTTAATAATGAATTTAAATGGATTTACATTTAGCATTTTAAATCATTTACTCATGTGTCTACTGATACTTTTGAATCAACTGAATTCGAATCCCATATGGTTTATCGAGGTAATTCAATAAGAATTTGTTTTTTTTTTATTGTTTTGGTCCCTATTTACTATTATTTTAGGATACATTGATGATCTACGCAATACAGATAATGCTTGGATCGAAGCAGAAATATGGAATTTTCATTACAATTCAGACATAATATTTCTTAATTTACGTCAAGACGTATGTTTATTATTTTTAATCTAAAATTGTATGATTAGTTTTCTTTATGATGTATTTAGGGCATGGCGATATGGAAAGATGTAACGAATAGTTCTCGAGATTTTCTTATGCAAAAATCAATTCTACGCGAAATATCTAGAATTCATCACGCTTTCTTTGAATGATAACAATCATACATTATAAAATTTATGTGACATTCCGAGTGCCATTCATTCATTTCATAAAACTATATCAATGTTTTTTCTATATCTGTAACTCTTTTATACTAATTATTTGCGTATGTGATTGATCTTTTAGTATTTTTTATTGTTTTCTTTATTGATTATTCTAATAAGGTTCATTTATTTCGAGCTAACAAGGAGAAGCGATCGAGTGTGACACATTGTTTTGAATCAGATGAATATCAATTTCTACAGTGAGATAAGCTGATCCGCATGGCATAAAGCGTCCTTCTTAATTAAAAAATCTAAATAGACAAAACTAATTAATTCTACTTGTGGAAGACTACGTTCGAGGCACTGGACACTAAAGGGTGTGGGAGGGGGGGGGGTGGTGGTTGGGTATAGGTGTGGATGTGACTGAAGGTGAGGGTGTGATTGTTGGTGAAAACTAATGAGACCCACACATCACATCCATATCGACACATACCCACCCACCCACACCACACCTACCCACACTCACATCCTTATAAAGACAATTAAACTAATTGTTGAAAAGAAAACTATTGACATTGGACGCGTATTGAGTTTGATTAAACAGGTAAAAAGATTTCTTGATGTACCAAATAGTTCAATTGATGAAATACAAAATATTTTTTAAACAAGTTAATTAAATACTTTCATCAAAAGTTCAGGTAAAAACTAAATTACAAACTCATTCCTTTTGTGTTTATTGGTTCTTTTTGTTTTGTTTTAATTTTAGAAATGATGGTAAAAGTCGAGCTTGCATTATTGGAAACCAAGAATTATTCTTGTATTTGCAAATGTAATAAGGAAAACATAAATTCAAATGGTAAATTGAATTTCTATAGATCAATCTCTATTGAGAAATACTCGTTGAACATCCAAGTATTTCATATCTAGTTTACTTGTTTTTTGGGATTATATTAAGTTCACAAAGAAATCTTGCTAAGAGTAGAAAAGTTCAGTGATGAACCAAATCCTCATCGTCTTCTTCAATTTCCAGGCTATTTCAGATATTAACTGGAATTTCGACTTGTAGTTTTCTCTGTATTCAGAATACCTTCAAATAAATTCTATATTTGGGATAGAAAATTCTTTGTTGAAAATTCAGTAGATTGACAGATGAACATTTATTTTGACTGAATCTTTCAGAATATTCATGAACCTATGAGATCTTATCTACTCGATATAAGTTGGCGTTATTCTTTTGTAGGATAGAAGAATTTGAGATTTCAGTAAGTTAAAGTTTTTCTTAACTTGATACAGGAACAATAAATGTGATTGATTTAAGATTATAGATGATTCTATAAAGTTAATTTTGGAACGAAAACATCAAATATTATTTGTTCGCATACAATATGTTTAAAATTGACGATAATACACTCATCTGTTTATTTTATGTTTTATTTTCCAAGCTTCACATTAGCTAATCCTTTCCTACTCGAATAGTATTAAAAGATGCCACTCGATAAAAATTTGAATTATATTTAACTGTAGGAAATTAGGAGTGAAAATACTAGAAATGATGCAAGTTGGAATGGATCATATGCCGTACGCAGATATATATATATAAGGATAACTGCTTGAAAGTCTTGGATTTTATATCTCTAATCGAGAATCTTCATTTTTGATAATATTTCGATTGAAACGTAAGCGAAATTCGTCTGCTCGTTGAAAAAAATTGATCACACAAAGTATATCAGTATCTCTAGTCCAGGAGTGAAAATACATGATAAATCAGGAAAAAAACAATAGGCTCGGTTCAAATAATTGATTTTGAGTGTCACACAAACGATAACTTCTCTCGATTCAAGTCATTATAATTATTTCTTGTTGCAAACTTGTGATGGAACAATCATGTGTATTTTATTTTTTAGTATATGTACTCTGACTAGCTTATAAAAACTTGCTTTTGAAATGCTAAGCATATTGACAATTACCTGATTCAAAATTTTTCTATTCGTTAAACTAGAAAATAAATCGTAGCACTTTATAAAGTAAAACTACTGTATGTGATGCCTATTAGTTTAGAAAAAAAAAGAGTTGTGAATCAAGAAAATTCTGAAATAGTAGTTATTGCTTTGTATTTTTCTTTTTCTGATGAATGAAAAATCTCTATTTTACAGATTTTTTCTTGATATTTTGACAAATTACGATTCCAAGAAAGATTGTATTTTCAAATTTCATCCCATTTCCCGTAGAAAAACCTTAGCTTTAAGACTTATCAGAAAAAACTAGCATTGGTGACTTTAGAGAAAAAAAAATCATTTTTCTCTTCAAACAGTTTAGTTTTAAAAGACTTCGAATTGAAATTCTATAGAAACTTTTTTCCAAGTATTTCTAAATTTTTCAAAAGAATTATTTTATTTTATATTAGTAATGTGACCTCGTATGTTTACACATTGTTGTAGAAGAGGGTTTTTGAAGATCGATCTTACTAAAAATTGTACTGTAGATACAGTTCATGCAATAGAGTCAATCTAGTCAATGTCCCCTAAGATTTGATGGTACACATGGTCTTACTCAAGCAAAACATTCTATTGAACAGTGTGAACATGAAAAAAAAAACTATTAAATCAGATTATATCGCCATTTCATGAAACAACATTGATTAAAACAATTTTATGCTCGATGTTTGATACAAGCTGTGATCAACGATCAAGCTTCTAGAATAAAGTTATTTAATGAAAATGGCGATGTATTTGATCATTTATACAGAGTCCCATGTCCACTTACTTAGGGATGAATTCATTTACCAGCATATGATCAATCAATTAAATCAAATACTTCATGTCGACATCATAAAATTGTATTGAGTGCATTAAAACTTCATTTTCGATACAATCAACATGTTTTTGATGTATTTGCACAAGATTTATTTGAACATTTCGAAGAAATTCGAAAATAAAAATGATGTTACTTTGGTCGAATTAAATCAATCAGCAGGATTATAAGAAATGAAAATCTGGAAATTGTTTCTGTTGATATCTGTTTTATTTATTAGAAATTTTGTATTTGTGAAGAAATAAATAACATATTCGACAGGTTAATAAATTCACGAGAAGGTAATCTAAGTATCTCACACGGAGCTTAACTGTATAGGGTGTGGGTGGGGTGCGGGTGTAGGATGTGGGTGGGGTGTGGGTGTGGGTGGGTGGGTAGGTGTGGGAGTGGGAGTGGGTAGTTGTGGGTGTGGGTGGGTGTAGATGTGGGTGTGCATGTCTTCTATTCTTACACCATACCCATACCCCACCCACATGCACCCCCACCCCACACTCACATCCACGCCAGAATTTTGTAATTAGTATATCAGAATGTGTTGGCTTTAGATTTTTATTTATAACAAATATGTTCGTATTTAAGTAAGCAACAGGAAAAAGAAGTAAACGAAATGTTGGAAGATGTATTTAAAACTGCGTTATCATTATCTTTCTCAGCTGTGCTCTCATTTACTTCTTGATTATCTGACGTCAATTTAATCTTTTTATTTGGTTTTGCAGGTGCTACATAAAGACTAATAAAAATAGGCGAACTTATTACTTTCTACCTCTTGAAATTAATACAAAATACCTTTATTCATTTACAATCACCAAAACGTACGTATTTTTCCCGGTTGAGATAATATACAATTAAAGTCACTTTATCGATTATCAATATCTCAGCGTGAACCGTTTTAGTTCAAATCGGTAGTGTCGACAATCAATCAAGTGAATTTGGATGTAACTTATCCTAACTGTTTTTACCTAATAATTGTATACAAAAGATGTTTTATTGTCATCGACAGAAAGACACACCAGCTATATGCTATTTTTGGTCAACGGGACAAACGGGATTTTATAGGACAACTCGAAAAATTTCGGGACGGGACATTCGGGATTGGTACAATAAAAAAGTGTGTCCCGCAGGTCTCTAGTTTAAGGTTAGATGTACGGCAAAATATTAAAGATTTCTAAAATATCAGCCTATCGAGAACGACAGGTTCGACGGGGTCATGTCAAATTAAGAGACAGGAAACAATCATGACACAATTTGATATAGAATGAAAAAAATTCATGAAAGTGTCATACGGTCAAGTAAAAAAATATTTTGTCGTCCGCCAACATTATAACTAAGAAAAAAAACGAAGAAGACCGTGAACAAAAATAATGCCGTCCAAAAAATAGACGATTATATATTTTTCTTTCGACAGCTATTTCATTGTTTCCGAAGAAGATATGATAAATATGTGGATAAAAATCATTGATTCACACATGAATGGATCGAATAAATATCTTTTTCAATATTACTTTTTAACATTTAATGATGACAACAATGAAATCTATTGAATGTTTGCCGAACGAACTTTGGTTGTTATTTATGAGTTTTCTTCCACCAATCGATCTTTGTAGAGCACTGGCTGGTCTTAATCATCGTATTAATTATTTACTTTCTTCTATGACTCCCCGTCCCGTTCTCGATACATCTCAATGTGCTGGTGATGGAATATGTTTTTCTGATCTTCTTCAATTAATCGAAGGCAAAGATATTTGGTCTCAATTTCTTCTTTCTTCAATCGATACAATTCGTCTTTATGACACACTTGCTAGTGATGCACTTTGTAAATACTATCAATCTCCAAAGCATTTTTCTTCAAATCAAACTTCTTTCTCACATTTATTTCCTTCACTTCGTCGATTGTATATAACAGGAATTTCTGATAAAATCGAAATATCACAACTGTTTGTTCCATTATCCACTACGCTTTGTGATGTTTATTTCACATTTGATGCACCTATGTGTCGCTCATCGTACTATAAAGTGGTGAATGGTTTTACTGATCATGGTTTATCATTTTATCGTATGGTATTTGATGTTAAAGATGGTAAGTTTCTGGGTCAGTTTTGTATCAATCTTTTTGATCTCAAATAAAAGTTTGTTCTTCCGCAGCTTGATAACACTCTACACTAAATGTTCTAATTGAAAGAAGGAATGAAAGAGTGATAGTAGAAAAATAAAAGAGTGTGAGCATCATGATATCATCTGGTCTGAATAAATATTCAAATGTTTGAATTTTCTTTTAGATGATATTAGTGAATATTCGGATTCAAATGAATATGAATGGAAACGAATGTATTTACCAAATACTGTTTATTTATCACTCTATATCAAGCGATTAGATGATCTATTCAATCTTCTTGATACTCAAGCATTACCTGTTCTTGATCATCTCAGTGTTGCTTTTATCACACATGATCTCAAATACGATGTAGAAATGATGAATGTTAACAATATAACAAGTCGTTTACGTTCTCTCAAACTCAGTCACATGTCAATGAATAATCTTCTCATCTTTCTTTCATTCATTCATTCATATGCCTTTACTCGAAAAGCTCACACTGATTGATATTCATGATAATAGTAAGTTTAATAAATGAGAATTTAGATGTTTTACAAAATGAATTATTTCAATTTCTTGGAAAATCTATTTATATCAATTTATCTTTTCAATTTCTAACTAAACATTGAATTATTTTTTTAATTTAGCACTCAATCGTCTTAACGAGTTTCAAAAATATTTTGAGACAAAGAAAAATCTTCCTGCTCTTCATCCATCATCATTTCGATTTCTACTTCGTTTTCCTGGTGAACTTGAAAGTAAATGGAATAAATATCGTTATTTGCAATGGCCACTTGATGTTGTCAACATTGATCATTGTCGTGAAGAGCATCGTTTATCTGTTGTGGCATACTATCGTTCAGAAACATTATCACTACCAAAGAAATATTCTCTTCTTATTTTCACTCGTTCATCTCTGCCTTTCCATCGAATCATACACAATTATTCTGCTGCAATGACACTCAAACAAACATCATCAACATCATCAATTGAATGGACTTGCGATTACCTTGACAATTCTGAACAAATTTTTGAAGTTTTGTCAAAGTTTGGGACGATAAAGAAACTCAAAATTGAAACATGGTTTGGAACAAAATTGCAAAATGTATGTGAAAGTCTCATAACTCAAACGCGATTTTGAAAAGACTATTCCAAGTCCTCATGTACACATCTGAATCAACCTTTTTCTCATATTATTGACACGCATGAATCACAACAGTTGCTATCTGAGCTGAGCAAGAATTAAATCTCTCGAATACGAGTACTTTGTCCAGCTCTGATTACCACACTATAGGGATCTAAAACGAAGTACACAATATAAGAACTTGGCGAAGATTAATGACAGGTAATAGATATTTGTTCCAAAATCAAATATTTCTCCAACAAAAAGATATTAGATTGAGAAAGTGATCTATGTCAAAACTGTTTTTTTTTCTGAAATTTTGATGCATGAAATGCGCAAACTTCAAGGTTTGTCCACAGCACTTGAGTTTCTTTTTAAGCAACTCAAATACTGTATGTATGGGAGAAAAAAAGTCAATCGTATAGAAATAAATAAAAGAAATCACTATGTCTCTGTTAGCTGTTTAAAAAGTGATGTGTGCTTGAGTGGTAATAGGACAGTATTGCATCTTGTGGTATGTGGACAGTTCCTCGTTGAGCAAAATTCATATTGATGCTAAAATATTCTTTTATTTTTAGATTGCTGCTAAATCTATCATCTTTTCATCACCATATAATCGACTCCAATTAGATAAACTTCATTCACTCACATTCTTCACAACTGAGAGTTCAGGCAACTTTCTATTTAAATCGCAACAACATTTCTTTCTCCGTGTACTTCTTTCAGCAACAACGCAACTTGTTAAATTAACTATCAATTGGAATTATATCATGAGCATCGATTCAAATTTTACCAGAGACCATTCTGCTGTCTCACCTCTCAATTTACGTCATTTACATTTGCGTTATTTCAATGTAGATGGTAATTAACAGTTGTCAACATTCTAAAACATAAAGATATGAGTTTATCTAAAACAGATACCTACTTATGTAAATATTAATCGTGAGATGAAAACTATCACAGATATGATTGATTTGGATTATTAGTCATTTCAGTAACTATTTTATGCTTCAAATCTTGATCTTGAGGAAAGTACGCTAACAGATTTCACCATTAAATCCAAGCTTACTTTTTCATTTATTGAAAGGAATAAGAGAACATCTGATATGATGAAAATTATCCGAACGGAAACGATCTTAAACAGTCAATTTTATTTTCTCTTTTTAGAACAAATAAATTTATCAGAGTTGACCGACATTTCTCTGCTATCGAAATTATTTCCAAAACTTATTTCATTCTGGACGAGTGGATGGAATATACCTCTGGACAAAAATTTTGCCGAATTAATTATATTAATTGTTACTCATTTTGAAAAACTCGCTGAAATTATCATTAACAAAGACTCTCATTATCGACATTTAGGTATTCATGGTCATGATTTATTATCTACTCAACAACGTTATGTTGAAAACTTATTAAGAAGTTTTCATAAACTCCACGATCCAAATCGTACGAGTATTCTTTGGACTAATTTTCCTGATTTGCGTATCTGGTTATAAAGAATATTTTTCTTGATTAGTAAAATGAAATAGTAGATGTTATTGTGGATATCCTCTTTTCTTGAACAAACTATATTGGTAACAGATTTCTCAAAGAAAATCTTATGTAAACTTATAACAAATATTTAAAAATATTATCAACTGACATTAAATATATAGAAATATGCATTTTTGCTGCTAATAGTATTGATTCAGATGATCAGTTGATTATGGATTAAACTATTTCTGATACTATGACGAAAAGACAACCGTATGATACAACTTATTTACTTGTATTCTAAGCAGGGTGTGGGTGTGGGTGGGTGTGGGTGTGGGTGTGGGTGTGGGGGGGGGGGGGGGGGGGGGGGGGGGGGGGGGGGGGGGGGGTGGGGGGGGGGGGTGGGGGGGGNACTGGAAAAAAAGGGTCTTTTTATGTAACAGCGTTACGCGATAATAAAACCTTTCTAGACGTTCGAGACTTCAGCCGAAAAAGGTCGTTCTTATAGCATAAATAGAGTTTGATAAGCTGTGTCGAATGGCGTTTGAATGAACTTTCTAGCTGTTAAACCTTCCGAGTTAATTGAAGAACAGTGTGTCAAAAACGTAACAGCGTTACGTTTGGACAAGCCGATCTACGTAACAATAAGCTAAGTCTTCGAACACTTTTTAGGATATTCAAAACCTATTTGGGACACTTATCTTGTTAGTCAACACTGTGGTGTTCGTTACAAATACCAGGAAAGACTAACTTTCGAATTTTCAGCTGACTGAGACTTTCACACTAAACTGTTCTGGTGAAAACTAGTAGAAATATTTGAGGATTCTTCCCAATGTGCTGTCCTTCACAAGTTATTGCAATTTTTCAATTTAAAGAGATATGTGTTCGTGAGATATCGAATATTGGACTTTTTAGCCTTTTCTTGTGACATATAATTGCATTTAGATATACAATATCTTCAGAAGAACAAAACTGTTTAGTCTGAAGTTTTCAAAGCATTCTGAGATCCACCATATCTATTTATGAGCAAAATATTAGTTCGATTTGCGACTCGTTCATAAATTAAACGATGTCGCAAAAAAATACACTATCGTCACACCAATAAGCTCAGAACTTGAACTTTTGCCCGGGTATTCATAATTCATAAGGGTCTATATTATGCACATAGTTACGATTCAAAAGTGATTAATCAATCGGAGAACTTTCCTCATCAAATCTAAACTATTCTTTAATCCTCGTCTTTTCTAATATTCATTTCTTTATATTTTGAATGATAATAAACGTAAAAAAAAAACTAAAATTGACCTACTTCGTCTATTTCGAATTTCTGATAATCCAAAATCAGTTAATTTAATATGTCCAGTTGCTGATATTAAAACATTATCTGGTTTTAAATCCCTTAATAATAAAAGAAATAAAACTTAAAACTCAAAAAACAATTTTTTACCTATGAATAACACCTTTTCGATGTAAATAATCGAGTGCAAGTGCAATTTCCGCAGCATAAAATTGTGCTTCATGTCGTTCAAGTATATGTTTAATACATAAAAATGACATTAAATCTCCACCAATCATATATTCCATAACTAAATATATTTCATCTTTTGTTTGTAATGAATAATAAAGACGAACAACAAATTGACTATGCATTGTAGCTAATGCATCACGTTCATTAAGAACTAGTAGAAAAACAAAAGCAAAAACAAAGACAAAGAATTTTACAACAAATATAAAAATTTTTCTTTTGTTTTACTTTGATCAATTAAATTTTTCTTTCGTATATCATGTTTATTAATAACTTTAATAGCATATTTCGTTTTATTTTCATCGTTTTTCTTTGTAGCTAAATAAACTCGTCTAAATGAAAAATTGTTAATCATTTTAATATTGAGGTGTTTATATTTACTAACCCATAACCACCTCGACTAATTGTCTTTAGAAAAAGAAAATCTTTTATATTTGGAAGCTAAAAATAAAATATGTAAATGTGTAAGAATACCTAATATATATATTTACTTGTAATTTGCTCTTTTCGACAGTCATCGGGATAAAAGAATTAGGATCTAAAAAACTTATAACTAATAAAACTCGTTGATCAAGATTAATCAATCGCGCGCAGACCGTTAGAAAGAGAAAAATGTTTTCTCTCCAATCGTGAGAAAAAATAGCTTGAAACAAAGGATAGCTTTCTTCATTCAACTAGATGTCGCCTAGAGCAATGCCCAAGCGAATGGTCTATATTATTGAAATGTATTTTCATGTGTTGACATAATAGACTGAAAGTGATATATTGACATATTCAAGACAAAAAGAAAAGATAAAATTGCAAGTTTCCACAATAACTTTTGTTTGCTCGTCTATTCATGTGTTGTGTGTATGGTCAATATTTTGAAGAAAACATACTTATCTCATAAATTAGACTACGAATCAATAGATCAACAAACTGAAATGAAATGATTTATTTTCGGTTTTGCTATGACGATTTTGATACGTTTGAACCACTTGTTCTAACCACAGAACCGAAATCACCCTCAGTTATGAGATGAATTTTTTGTTATAGGTGGCGCTGCCAAAATTTCTATTAGTAAAATGTTATTCTGAAACTATTTTGTTCTTGGTTCATTGAAATTTAGGCACAAAAAAACTCTCTGCAATCATTTATAACTGGAACTGAGAGTCGTAAGTGCTACCCAGATGAATGAAGTTCGGTTGATTTCTGCAACCGGATATATGATCATCGGATTCTTGCGGGTTTTCGTCAGAAATCTACAGATTCAGGCACTGAAACCATTGAATTTGGTAACATGTTTTTGAGAAAAAATGTTCAATATGGAAAATTATAGAAGCAGGATTAGGATAATTGTAACTTACGATGCAGAATATTTGCTCATTTTTCGGCTAATATTCTGAGCTACAAACAGAATTTTTCGTTATTTTCGAATATACAGATGCGGTAAAGCTTATCCGTTCGATTTCTTTTTAGATCTAACATAGTGAAAATATGGCCTTTTTAAGATTTGATCGATATCAAAATAATCATCATGCCATCCTCTATTTACACTATATAGGTCAACGTTGAATATGAAGTAAATCTTTGAAAATTGTGAATGTTTTAGACGCCAAAAACGAACAGTTTGGTTTTGATAATAATGGCTTTTTTTTTGTTTTTCTTGGTGGTTAAAATGTTTAAGAGCCTACATGAAATGATAATATTTTATTTTGAAATAGCAAACAAAGATGTTGTTTTTCAAAACTATCAGCACTATCGTATCGGTTGTCATTATTGTTTGAGATAGTTTTATAATCGACTTCCTAATGAGACAACCCGTTTCTTCGTAACATCACACATAATTGAATCCTAAACATGTTCATTGAGAAAAGAATAGTACGAACGTACCCATTTTTCTGTCCTGCATCAAATGACTTTATAATTAAATTATTTTCGAAATCAAGAAGAACGAAGAATGTAAACGTTATCAAAATCATATGAATGATATTTGTGTCTAGAACATTGGCATTTTATAGTGCATCCCTTCCTTTTTCAAGATTTCAATAAGTAGAGCAAAACTGTTATAGACTGTTCGGCATACCTATATTTTTTTGTTTCCTATGATCTCCTTCCATGCGAATAGAAACATCAAAATACTAATTGTATTTCCAAAAATACATGCTTTTTGTGTAAAATCAATGGTGCACTATTTCTCAAGACAGAAATAAAGTAGGTACAGCAAACATTATCCAATATTTGTAAGAAAACTTTCAGCTGGATTAAACGTATCATGTTGGAGAAACGGAGTCGACTCTGTACTTTTTTTGTTTAAAAATTCATTTCAAGAAAAACGAAAAACAAATAGTTCTGTATGTGCAAGACTTTTTTCTTCCACGAAAGTGATCAAAAAGTGACCGTGTTAGAGATTAATGACCCATGCTCTCAGCATCTCTGGAAATTATCAGTAGGATAATTTTGCATACAAAGAATAATCGTAGCATGAGAGTTGGGTTTAATAAACGTACTAACCAATAAATGAAGTACCCTCATTTATATGCCATTTGACGGAAGACACTTCAAAGTTGTACGAAATATCGAAGAAAAGGTTGATTTTCACATTCAGATAAAGAGAAGGGTCCTCTTAAACAAAAATTTAGCTTATTTAACACATATCTAGTTACAATCATTGTTCCTGAAAAGCTAATAAGAATTACACTGTGTAATTGTAAATGAAACGAAGACCAATACTTATACCAAACCTTTATTCCAAATGTATTCATTGATGAATTTATTTTCTTTTATTTATATTTCGATATTCTCTTGCTTCAATCTTTTGAACAAAGAAACTAATGGATAAGCTCATCAAAAGAAAATAGATGCATGACATTGAATGAATTCGAAGATTTACTCGTATTTAACATATAGATAACAATGAATCATACGATGACATGTCGTATTCAATCGAATATTAATGGTTTAAAAGTTTGATTTCAAAGTTTTATAAATGAAAAATATACAATTACAAATTATTCTTTTATTTTCAAGTAGAGTTCAATATATAAAGAGATATTCTATTAGATAGATGCAGATGGCAGCATATTGAATACATTTGTTTAGTCTGTTATTATTTTTTCTCCGCATTGTACTACGTATATGGTTGGAGAAAATTTTCGACCATTAAAAAAATGTTTCATTGACCGCCGTTTATATTTTGTTATTATTATTATTTTTTATTGCTGAAAATAATTCATAAAAAAAATTATTTACAAAATAATTCAAATTCTAAAAAAAAAGAATTAAAAAAAATATGATTAAAAACAAAAAGTTTATTTATCAACTTGATGTCATGAGAGAAATATTCTCTTTCTCTCTGTCTCCCTCTCTTAATCACGAGTGATCAACAGCTCAAACAGCTGTTTATTATTCGAATGCAGAAGATGAATTAGAAAATTCCCGTTTTGTTTTTCTATAAGAAAAACACAATAATTTAAAACAAAAAATTTGTCATTTGTTTTTTTGATTTAGATATTTCATTCATATTGATTTGACCTTGATTTTTCTCTACGAATAATTTCGAAGATTTTCATTCGACGTTTCATTTTTCCGTATAACAACTTGATCTATTTTATTTTATTTCGACGTGCGTTTGTTTTCTCTCTTTTTCTTTTTTCTCTCTTTTTTCGTTTCCATCGCTCTCTCTCTCTGTCACGCCGTCGCTACGTTTATATCTTTTCACTGTTTTCCGTATGAGTCATTCTTCGTTACCCTCCTCGCAATACTGGCCTCATCAAGCTCGGACGAAGACGTCGCCGGGTGTCCACCACCCAAGCGAGCGCGCTTGAATACAACTCGATCAACGCGTAATAAAGATTCCAATTATCAGCATCAAACAATGAATACATCTACTAATTCCGGAGGCCAACAACAAACATTAGATAATACAACCGCAACAACTTCAAATCCTCTTCCATTAACATCTGATCCTAATGATAATAATAATTCTGAACGCCTTAAACAACAAACTCAACGTTTAACACATCATTTAAATGGTTTAACATCAACAACAACAGCAAATACAGATACATCAAGTAGTAATGGACATGAAGCGACATCAGCGAATGGAAATAATGATCATACATATGATCGTTTAATATCATCATCAACACAAACAATTATAACTGGTTCATCTTATCCATCAAATAATGGAAATATAAATTCTTCGAGAATATTTTCTAATAGTCAAAAAGAAGTTTTAAGACTTATTGGACAACATTTACAAAGTGCTGGATTAAAGTAATAATTTCATTTATACAAAAAAAGAAAAAAAAACTTTAGAATATCTTTTATTTTTTATTTTTAGTAAAACAGTTGATATTCTTATTGATGAAAGTGGTTGTGTACTTGAACATGAACAAGCATCAAATTTTCGTGAACTTATTATGTCTGGAAAATGGACAGAAGTAAGTAAAAATAAACTAATTTTGATCTTTATCTATAAAATAACTGATTATGAAACTTTCAAGACAGATAGATCTTGATAAGTTGAGCAAAAATTATCGTAGACTTAAAATTTCTACATGCTTCCATCAAAATAATATAGGGGTCGCAAAGGTCAAAATTTCCTCCTACACATAACTTTGTACTTCATTTTTTTTCGAGTCGCAAATTGTTTTTTTTTTTGTAACAACTAAGATAAATCGTGCCGAGTTTCGTAGGAACACAACTAAAGTAATTGAGAATTGACCGTATTAGACATCAATAATCTATGCGCTCAGCACCTTTAGATATTGTGATTAGGAGAATTTTGCATACAAAAAAAAATCCTACGTCGAGAGTTGAGTTCCAAGCTAGTAGCGAAGAGCTCTTATTTATATAAGGTTTTTGACAGTAGACATTTGGATGTTATACCAAAACTTGAAAAGATTTTGATTTTAACATTCGGATAGGGTGATACAACTGATCTGCATCAAAATCTTGTCATAAATAGAGTATCTAAAATAAAGAGACATGAGTTCGAGAAAAAGAACATATTTGTTGGTAAATTCCCTATCCGAACTGGTTAAGAAGTTCTTTTTGAAATACTTGACAAGTATTGAAAAAACATCTGTATGCGTGGAAGCCCTATTTTGCAGTCTGACTTACGAAAATTTCATGTGCTGTATCGAAAATTGATTTTGGAAATAGTAGACCTTAGTTAAGACCTATTGAAGTTAAAAAGATACTAGAATGGTTCATCCATATGAGCCTTCGATCTTATAGTATAGAATATTTTGTGATAATTCGAATGATATAGATGCAGTCAAAATGAATAAACTGTTCTTAAAATGTGAAGCTTAGAAGCTCCGTATTTCGAAAAGAATTTGTTTATTTTGACTGAAACATTTTGGAAACTAGAAGAAGTTTCTATTACTCAATTATTATTTAGAAATTTAATAAAATCGCTCTAGCTCAAAGAGAAAATCCAATGGGAATAAACCATTCTAGTATTTTCTTAGTTTCAATAGGCTTTAATTAAGGAAGTTCCCTAATGAGACAATAGATAAAAGATTGAATAATTTACAAAAACAAAAATTTTTTTCGGGAATTGTTATTAAATGAGAATAGATCTTGATAACATCGAAAAACAAAAAAATCAAGATTTTTTGTTTCTCAACTTTATATTCCCATTTGTATGCATTATTTTCTAATCTAATTGAGATTAGAAAGATAAGTCGATCGGTTGAATTCTCCTGCGACATAAAAATAAATATTTGATTTTTAAAAATTTCTAATGTGTCAAATCAGTTTTTTGATATGTTACCGTCTGGTTTTGTATCAATAAATTTTCTGCCATCATTTTCTCTGTTTGATTTCATTTAGTCATCAAAAAGTATAGACGTCTGAAAATTTATACCATCAGCATATTGCCTACTAAAGTTTGTCTTGTTTCTTATCATAGTTCCATTGATCTACATTCATTGTGAAGCATAGGCACCACAATTTTTCAGATCTCTATCCCTTATGGTGACTAAGATCCAATAGGAGAAAAGAGGTGTAATATGATTAGTTTTCGTGTTAGACACATTATTCAATTAAATATCCGAATTCCGAAAAATTCTTGCTAATCAATTCCATTATCAGAAATCTATACTAGGCATTTATAATTTAACTATTGTTTTTTTTTCCCAAAAAGTCATTGATACAGTAATGAATACAATTGCAATTATGTATGAATGTGATAATGAATTATGCATGATCTGAGAATCAATAGAAATCGTTGTTTGAATATTCTCAAAAGTAGTCTTAATAACAGAAAGCTGTGAGTTCATCGATCTGACTTTGCAGTCGAAAGAATTTTGACGGACTGCGCTTGTCATTAAACTTCGTATTTGAATAGCGATTTTATTGAGCATTGCCTTTGTCTTAATACAAAGTGAAAAAGATTTTTATTCTTTTTTTTTCTCTTTTAGGCTCTTGTCGCACTTGAAAAACTAAAACAATATATTGAAGAACGTGATGGCATTCAAGTACAATAAATAAAATTTTTCGCTTTTTTTTTTTTATATATTTTGGCTTTTTCCTTTCTAGCAAATGAAATATTTGATACTCGAACAAAAATATTTCGAATTAATTGAAGATAATCGTGCTATGGATGCACTTCAATGTTTACGATATGAAATTCAAGGATTAAAAATTCGTACTGAACGTACACATGAACTTACAACGTATTGAATTTAAACATAATGAAATTATCACGTAGAATTTTTTTTTTTTCTTTAGATTTCTTATGTTTAATTCACTGAAAGATATGTACAAAGCAGCTAATTGGAGTGGTAAAGGTTTTGTATCAAGACAAAATCTTATGGAAAAATTACAAAGTATAAAATAGAATTTTCTTTTTTTTTTAAGAATCGAAATATTTTTCGTATAGAATATCTTCCACCTGATGTTATGTTACCACCGAAACGACTCGAATCCCTTTTATCTCAAGCTGTTGAATTACAACAAGAACGATGTACATACCATGTTAAACCAGGCACATTAACACTTGATGATGTTTCATTACTTAAAGATCATGCATGTTCCAAGTAAGTTTTGTTGATCCTCATTAACAGGAAGAATTATATATGCTAGTCAAAAAAAAGCTTGGCTCAGTACTGATTTGCAATCCATTATTTAAAAAATCGTCTCATTCTTAATAGATACGAAATAATATGAAAGACAATATGAATATTTCTCTCTCTCTATATATATATATATATTTTTCATGTTTATCTAGACAAACATTTCCTTGTGTTACAATACAAACTTTAACCGAACATTCAGATGAAGTATGGTTTTGTAAATTTTCCCCAGATGGAACTAAACTTGCTACTGGTTCAAAAGATGGTTATTTACATATATATGATGTAGACATGGTAAGACATGAGAAATTCTTCATTATTTAAATATTATTTTTTTGTTTGTAGGAGACTTATAAAATGAAATTAAGAAAACAATTTGAAGGACATTCATTCGGAATAGGTTGTATTGCTTGGTGTCCATTTAGTCGATATGTTATTGCATGTGGAACAGATGAATGTAATGAATTATGGATTTGGGATGTTGAAGTAAATTTTTCATATGAATAATTATATATTTTCTTTTTTATTATTAATATTATTTTTTTTTCAGCAAGAAGAACAACGTTCACGTATGACTCATACACCTGAAGATAGTTTAACTTGTGCTGCTTGGTTACCATGTGGACAAAGATTTGTATGTGGTGGATCACGTGGGCAATTCTATTACTGTGTATGTTCACGAAAACTAAAACATACAAAAACAAAATAAAAGAATATTTGTTGAATTTAGGATATTGATGGTAATGTTATTGACAGTTGGGAAGGTGTTCGTTTACAATGTTTACATGTTACAAGTGATGGTGTTATTTTAGCAGCTGATGCACAAAAACGTATTAGTTCATATAAATTTGATAGTTTAACTGATCAACAAATGTATGAATATTAAGATTTAAAAAAGAACTTAACATTTTTAAATGTTATTATACTTTTTTTAGAATTCATGAAGATCATCCAATTATGTCATTTACAGTTAGCAAAGATGGTCGATTAGCTCTTCTTAATATTGCTACACAAGTAATAATCAAAAAACCTTAATGATCCTAAAGGAATCACTACCTTCTATCCGTTAGAATAATATATAAAATTAAAAGAAAAAACGGGAATCAGTATTCTTATAGAAAAAAACATAACAAAAGAGGAAAGATTGATTGCATTAGAATGTCTCTGGATATTTATTATAGCATCTAATAACTTTCACATTGATAATCGCTACTGAGTTTGATGAGTTATGATTTGACAATCAATTTAACATACGACTAAATAAATTTTTATGTGAGACAAATCGTTTGGAACGATTCGCAATTAAGCAGAATTCGTCCGAGCAACAAATATCCGTCGAAGGGCTTAGCAAGTCTTTTAAGATGTTTCATCCAATATACATCATAACATATATCATTGAGTGATTATTCATCATAGACAACTTTGAGTATTATTCAAGATGCAGAATCTGATGAAACGAATTCAATGGCAGATAGAAATAGATATATGAAAAAAACATTTTACTCTATATTTCACCATGTCTTCAAAGTTAGAAAATAGCATAAGTTTTGTTTATCTAAAACAATAATTAATCTAACAACTAACAATTAGTTTTGACAGGCCTCTATTATAATAACCAAAAGGTCAGACATTCTTGATTAACTTGTAGCATCATATTAACAAGCCACCTACTTTAGTCAGGCCTGAAAGAACCGGTGTTTTTAAATCGCCGTTTTCCATAAGCCCATAAAACAGTGAAAATAGTACGAGAAACAATTAACGTTGTTGCTGATGATCGGAATGATTTCTCTGAGTAACAGACCTGAAGCTAATTATAAATTATGTTGATAAATTTTAGTCTTTAAAACGTTTTTTTTTTAATAGGGTGTTCACTTATGGGATCTACATGATAAACAATTAGTTCGTAAATATCAAGGTGTAACACAAGGTCATTATGTAAATCATGCAACATTCGGTGGACCAAATGAAGAATTTATTGCAAGTGGTAGTGAAGGTTGGTTTTGTATTTATAAATTTCAATAAAAAAAAGAGGTTTTTCTCTTCTTTTTCTTTAAAAAAAAAAAGACTCGAAAGTTTATTTATGGCATCGACGACAAGAACGTCCCATAATGGTATTTTCAGGTCATTCACGTACTGTTAATTGTGTTTCATGGCATCCAACATCACCATTAGTTTTTGCATCAGCATCTGATGATGCAACTGTTCGAATTTGGTCTACACCTGAACATCAAACGAAAACAGGTTTGTTTCGAATTTTTATTTTTTCTGTAAATAATTTTATTTTTTTATTTTCGTATCTTCTAGAATTATTGTCAAGCAATGAATCGTCATCTTGATAAGATTATTTTATTTATCTAAAACGCTCATATTTTGTTGATATATGCACTTAACATAGACTTTTCTTATTCTTAGTTCTTTTTTTGTCTATACACGTTACATCTGTTCGTTTATTCGTCGTTGTTGTTGTTTACGTATCCACATGCATTTTCTTTTTATCGCATCGTATAGGAAAACCAAAAGCAACCATTGAAAATCTTTTCTTTTACTCTCTTAATGTTTACATACGTGAAAAAAAAACACTTGAAAATAGAACTGTTCTCATTTATCTTTACTCCTGAATCTAAACGGAAAAAATGGAAAAACAAGTTTTGAAATATTCGTCTTGTTTCGTTTTGGATATGCCATATTGTTCGATTTCTTTTTTGCTTCTGATTTGATTAACGTCTTTTGTGTACACATAAACATTTCTTGTTTTTTTTTCTTTTTTCTCTTTTTTAAATCCTGTATTCGTGCTGTGCTGTCTCTTTGAATACGTATGCATAAAGACCAGAAGAACTTGCTATTGTTCTTTTTTCATTGCTGAGCTATTCCATTAGGCTTATTCTACAAAAAAAAAAAAAAAGAAAAATATAAGTATCTTTAAACCAATCGACATGCAATTCTAGTTGTATTTATTACTAGTAAGAAAAAATAACGGATGTTACAAAAGTTCTGCCCATTTTCAGTATAACGTTAGTACTCGGAAAGACATGGACACCAAAATATTCAAATTAAAAATCACGGATTCCATAGGAAATAGTTTTATTAAAAACTTGATTTACTCTTCATAACGTCCAATGAAGTTTTTTCTTCGCATCGAACGAGCCTAAACTTTTGTCGAGTCATCCAGCCAGAACTATATTTTCACTTTTTAAGAGAGATTTTCTACGTAAGAAAACATAAAAAACTAATTGTAATCGATTTTATTCTAATGTTTCGTCGAAATGTCTTACATGGGTTTTGCATCTCGAAGCTGGTAACT